GTAGATATCTAAGTCACCTTGTAGTTCAAGATTTAAGAGTATATTTACCTCAGCGAGTTCCTCTGGTGAAGAAAACTGGCCTTGTGTGCCAATGAGGTATGTTTCGAATGCAAAAATGAGCCAACTGGAACCTGCAGCAGGTCAGGAAGACAACAGAGAAGATAGTCACAAAACAAATATATCTTAAAATATCTGCATTCATAGTTGTGGGATCAACTTCCTCTTGTTTTGCTTTTGGTGTAATCAAACCTGTGAACTTGTTATTGGACTGCACGGAAGCCACTAAAATGTCAAGTTTTTACTGGTTTACACAGAGTATTTTCTCATCAAACTCACAGACTAGCTTGTGGTATCAAAACTGTACCAAGTTCATACACCTTATAATATTGTGTAGGTTCCCATTGTGCCATTCAAAACAGCCCTGAGCTGTCGAGGGCATGGACTCCACAAGACCTCTGAAGGTGTCCTGTGGTATTACGCACCAAGACGTTAGCAGCAGATCTTTAAAGTCCTGTAAGATGTGAGGTGGAGTCTCTATGGATCAGACTTGTTTTTCCTGCACATCCCAAAGATGCATTGATCGGATTGAGATCTGGGGAATTTGCTGAAAGAGGCCACTGTTTAATCACAGAAGACCTTTGCCGTGAAGAGGTGTACTTGGGGCTCTCTTCTGCGGTATAAGTTGTCAAAGAAGAATCCAAATGAATGCCAGGATCCAAATTTTCCCAGCTGAGCATTGCCCCAAAACATCACACCACTGCCTTCTCCCCATAGTTCATCCTGGTGGCATCTTTTCTCCAGGTAAACCTGTTCACCTGTATCCTAATGTACTCCACCCCTTCACACGTGTCCACTACAATTAAATAATCAGTGTTATCAACTTCACCTGTCACCTGGTTTTAATGTGGTGGCTGATCGCTTGTACACTTGGTAAGATATATTTGTATATGTAGCAATTCTGTCTTTTCATAGCATCACATGTTTTGACTGATACTACAATTTCTTCACAGTGTCTCCATTGTTGTTATACTAACTTCTTTAACCAGTGTGTCCCAGTTCTTTTTGACAAAGCTCCAGGCAAGGTGATGTCCCCGTGGTTCCTAGCCACCATCAGGATGAGGACTAGACAGGTCCTGTGATCGAATCACCGTCCCTTCCAGGCCCAGCCCAGCAGTCTGCAACACAAACACACATGTGCTGCTGACTAAAATACAAAAAATGCTGCCTTCGTGACACATTATCTGTCACTTGAAAAGCCTTTATTTGAAGTTGTTTAGCCTATGACCGATAATACCAATAGTAGAATATGTGTTAGCAGCAATATGAAACACCATACCCCATGTTTGCCACAAGATGGCAACATAACTGTGTGGAAAAATATAGTAGAAGAAGAATTACCTCTTCCAGTTTGCTGGTGTCTCTGCTGCAGGTCAGGCAAACAGGATTTTGTACTTTTGTGCTGCAAGAGAGGGAGACGTTGTATGTGTGTAAGAGTGAGGTCCAGCCATGGTCATCCTGCGTGCTCAACTAAATACACTGTCTCTGCCACATCAGTGGGTAAACTGGAATAAACACAACAGAGATGAAATATAAGTGATTATGGTCCAGTGCAGGCACAGGGAAATACTGTTGTTTAATGTGAGACTGTATCAACTTTGTTAATAATGATGTTTGTTAAAATGTTATTTAGACAAACTTGAGTGTTCCATTGGACTGAAGCCAGTCTTTGAAGCTCTGATGTGCCGCTCAGGCAGGGGGTCATCCAGGTGACAAGCCAGAGAGATGACCTCTGACCTCAGCCGTCGCCTGATTAACAGAGCCGCTGTCACTCCATGTCTGCTGGTCAATGACAGCACGGGAAGAATCGCAGGATCTACATCTGCGCCAAAGCACACAGGGAAACAGCATCGCACGTAACTCAATTTCATGCTGACATTGATATATAAATAATCATACAGGTCTGTGTCCTCTTGCCTTCTTACCCCCAGGTTGTGCGTTGAGCTCAGGCTCATTCCTTTTCTCAATCAGCCAGGTTTTAGAGAGGTCTCCAGATAGCCAGTCCTCAATGAGAGGCACTGTGTGTTGCTCGAGGTGAGTGTGCAGAGTGAGGGGAACGTCGAAGCGTATGATGCAGTGACTGCCCGTGGTAGTCTCTCGTGCGGTCAAGGATGTTTGTCAGTTAACACACAAAGATGGTACAGATAACCCTTTTATTGTGCATTTGGTGAAGAATCAATTTACAGAGAATTTGTGTTAAATCGGAATGGATCGCTCTCTCTCTCTCTCTCACACACACACACACACACACACACACACACACACACACACACACACACACACACACACAATTCATGGTACACGCACGATTCATCACAAACAGACTGCTACTGATCAGCTGCCAGTTTTACTAATTAAATTTTTTTCTTAACAAATTAGTCCCCTCAAAATTAACAAAACGCTTTTTATACACAAAACTGTCAACTCTCCAGTGATGTCAAGAACATTACAATTTCCAAATAAAAACACACTTAGAAATTAAAAAACACCCTCAAATATCCATTCTGTGGCATCTGTCAACCACAACCTCTCTTTCAGCTGTCCTTCACTTCATTTGCTCATTCACCCAATTTCTCAGAGTCTCTAGGTTCCTCTGAATCCACCGAACATTTTTCTGTATGTTGTCCAGGGCAATCTGAGTAGCTCTCAGCTGAGATGTCTGTTCTTTGATGGACTCAAAGAACAATCGCACCTGGGAATCAAACATACATACATTTACACAAATGCAAACAGGGACACAACTGAAAAATGACTTGCTTTTTTAGACATGTCTTTTTAGGTCAATACCTAAATATTTTACAACTGCAAACAGTAATTAGCCCTCTGTGTCTCAGAGCAAATGGAGGTGCAAAGAAGGTTAGGTTTCTCAGACACTACCATTTTAAAGTCATTTTCAGACTACAGTATTTTGATTTTATCACTAATTTGATATTTCATTGGATTATGTGTAGGAATTAAAATCAAAACATACCCATCAACCTTTCGAAAATACTCGCAATAGAAACAATATTTCTGATATTGACAATGCTGGTAGATATCTAAGTCACCTTGTAGTTCAAGATTTAAGAGTATATTTACCTCAGCGAGTTCCTCTGGTGAAGAAAACTGGCCTGTGGTGCCAATGAGGATGTTTCGAATGCAAAATGAGCCCAACTGGAACCTGCAGCAGGTCAGGAAGACAACAGAGAAGATAGTCACAAACAAATATATCTTAAAATATCTGCATTCATAGTTGTGGGATCAACTTCCTCTTGTTTTGCTTTTGGTGTAATCAAACCTGTTGAACTTGTTATTGGACTGCACGGAAGCCACTAAAATGTCAAGTTTTACTGGTTTACACAGAGTATTCTCATCAAACTCACAGACCAGCTCATACGCAGCAAGATACAATGCACTGTATGTTCTGACAGCTGTTTATCACAGCCAGCATTAATTTTGTACTGATCACTGCATGCATACCGAAAACATCCTACAAGACCTGCTGTTTTGGAGATTCTCTGACCCAGTCGTCTAGCCATCACAATTTGACCCTTGTCAATGTCAGTCAGATCCTAACACTTGTCCATTTTTCCTGCTTCCAACACATCAACTTCAAGAACTGACTGTTCACCTGCTACCTAATGTACTCCACCCCTTCACAGGTGTCACTGTAATTAAATAATCAATGTTATCAACTTCACCTGTCACCTGGTTTTAATGTGGTGG